GGAAGAAGAGTCCCACTCCCAGTGTTTGGTCTTTCTCTTTCTTCTTTGTTCTTTGTGCATCAAAGATATTTTGGGTGTGGATTCAGGAACAGGAGTGGGAGCTGGGGATCCGAAGGTACCAATATGGTCTCCCCAGCCTATTGCCGCCAGTTCACTTCCTTACACTGTCCTTGGGCCAGATTGACATATCATCAAGAATGAGCCACCAGGGCTGCCTCCTGGCATTTCATGGATCCCTTTGATGTCAGTTTTCTCCTTCCTTTCTCCTGGGAAACTAAAGTCAAATCAAGCCCTTATCATTTATATAAGAAATCAATATTATATGAAGGATTCACCATTTCGCAAGAACTAGACAAAATCAAACCTTTATACTTTCCAGGAGCAAAAGAGACAAATAGACAATGGTATTTTCTGCATAGTAGAAGACAACGTTATAACTTTCCCTCACACAACTTGAGCAAAGATCCCTATTTAAGGGATGCTTCTCCATCCACTGCCATAGCATTCTTTTGTTCCTGGTCCATGCGAGCCCATTCACACCCACATCATCCCACGCTCATGATAAAACACGCAACATATTTGTGTGATGGAAATACCACATGAATTAAACTCACAAGATCTGGGCTGGAAAGGCACATCCTACAACCAGTTACAATAATTTCCTCCTCCTTGGGGCTCTTGAGAAAAAGAACATATCCTTTCTCCCTCCAAGGGTTGGGGAGAGTTTATCTTAACAGGGCATGGGAAGTTGTGGCCAAAGAAGAGAGAAAACCGAAACAAAAAAATGAGAGTTCCTGGTGTGGTATCTTTTGAAAAGGCAGAGGGGAGATTTCTGATATGTAGGGAAAAGGGCTACTGTCTCTTCAAGAACTGACTGGCAGAGGAAGGAAAGGACTCCTGGAAAGGGAGGAAGAAAAAGCATCCCCCCCCCCAATATTGACTGAGTTTGCTTTTTGGGGAGGAAGGTGGCCAGGAGCATCTCTTGGCGGGAGTTTTAGAAAAAGGAGAAGGAGACGCTCTTGACCCAAGTAGTCATTAAGGGGAGATTGTGATGAGGCCTCTTCCAGCTACATGAAAGAAGGGGAGGAGGGTCTCCCCAGAGAAAGAGGCACCAGAGTAGGTGTGGAGATGGGATCCTGTGTCGGCATCATAAAAAGCCACCCGTCCCCCTTCATAGTTCAGGGACACCCGGATCCTCCTGAACTTCTCACTCAAAGGAAGAGGAGTTTCAACAGAAAGGTTGGAGGCCCTGTAGCCACCTGCACAGCACCTGAAAGCCCAGATCCCTTCTTCAGTTCTACATTTAACAGGGCCTTTCCTCCGTATGGACTTCCTGGCCACCCCCAGACCCCAATCTCTCTCATTTTCCACAGTGACTTCCCAGAAATGCCTGCCTGCGGTGAAACCCTCATGTCCCAGCACATAAAGTCGTCTGTCAAATCTCTCAGGATTGTCAGGGAAACCTTGCCATCCGCCTTTATATCTCACACTTTTGTGATCTTCAGACAGAAAGAGATCAGGATGTGCTGTCATTGGATCCAGGATGACATTTGCTGTTTGGGGACAAAGAGCAGAAGAGAAAGTGAGGAGAATGAGGTGGGGAGAACCACTGTGGTGTGACTTGTGTCATTAACACACCATGCTAGGTTTGTACAAGCAGCCATTTTAATTTCCCTCAACAGTATGAGAAAAACATTCTGAATAATAAACAGGGAAAAAGAAAAACGGAGGCCCCATTGAAGTTAGAAGACTGATTTACACCTGAGCTGCCTTTAGATCCTGCCAGAGTTGATGCATGGTTAGAGATGGCATCTGAGTTTGGGGTGGGGATCGGCTCTCAATTTCCCCATCCTTTTTGTGTGTGGCCTGTTATGGGTCAGCCACTATTTACAGAGGTGAGAGGGTGGCCCTGCCTGTGAGTCGCAGACTGTTGGGGGGGACGGGACACCCCTCGCACTCATGGTGGGGCGGTGGAGTAAATTCATGCGCATGCGCAAAGGGGCAGACTTTGCTTATGGAAGGGAAGGGCAATCTGTCTCCGTGGCCCAGTCCTGCCATGGCCGTGGACCGGCACAAGCCGTGGAACGTGGGTCGGGGACCCCTGCTTTAGGTCTTTAGAGGTGAAAACCTGCACTTTGTAGTGTGCTCAGAAAGAGATTGGCAGACAGTAGAACTGTTGTAATGCAGGGTTGTGTGACCCCTGTAGCCATCCCCACGTAGCACTCTGGCCGCTGTGTTTTGGACCCACTGAAATTTCCAAACACTTTCCGGAGGCAGCCCCATATCCAGATGGGAAACGTGAAGGTTTACTTGAGACGTCCTCTTGCCACTCAATCACACAGCCCTTTCTCTGCCTGGATGGGTTATGTCCTGAAAAGATCAGTGTGCTGGTGATTGGGAAAGGCCTCCCATGGCCTGCTCTCCCCCATCACAACCTGAGTTACTTCCTTCCTTGGTGCTTCAGGGAAAACACACATACCCAGGTTGTGGCTCCGCGTTGCAGACCAACCCTGCATAAAACTCAAAAGGATCCAAAAAAAATCTTAACCTGTCTGAGCATCCAAGATGGCTGGTTTAGTACCTCACGTAAATTTGTATACGTTTGTTTAAAAACCAGAAGTAGCAAAGGATAACAGCTTGAGACAATATTAACTGTTCCAGCAGCTTTATACAAAAAAGCATAATCAGGTAGCATAAATGGAACTACAGAGCCAAAGGCCTGGTAAGGCTTTCTCACAAGAAAACAATTTATTTATTTATTTATTTATTTATTTTTTGGACTTATATACCGCCCCATAGTGCTACAAGCACTCTCCGGGCGGTTTACAATTTAATTATACAGGCTACACATTGCCCCCTCAGCAAGCTGGGTACTCATTTTACTGACCTCGGAAGGATGGAAGGCTGAGTCAACCTTGAGCTGGCTACCTGGGATTTGAACCCCAGGTCGTGAGCACAGTTTTAGCTACAGTACAGCGTTTTAACCACTGCGCCACGAGGCTTAGCAACAATGAAAGAAAGAAAGAAAGAAAACACTGAAGAAGAAAAAAAAAGCACCCACAAATAAAGTATTTCTGCCATACATCAAAGGGGTCACAGACTGCATGGGGAAATTTTTGAAAAAGCACAACCTACAAACAGTATTCAAGCCCACCACAAAAAATACAACAAATGTTACGGTCAGCAAAGGACAGAAGGGAACCCCTCACCACTGCAGGAGTACACCGGATATCTTGCAGTTTTGGCCAGATATATATTGGAACCACAAAACGAAGCATCCACACCAGAATCAAAGAACATGAGAGACACTGCAGACTAAAACAACCAAAAAAATCTGCAGTAGCTGAACATGCTCTAAAACAAGCTGGACATGACATTTTATTTCAAAATACTCCAATACTGGACAACACCAGCAATCATTACGTCAGAATGCACAGGGAAGCCATTGAAATCCACAAGCACCAGCAGAACTTCAACAAAAAGAGGAAAGTTTGAAACTCAACAAAACTTGGCTCCCAGCTCTGAAAAATACAGCGTGCAAAAGGTCATGAACTCTAATTATGCCGCTTCAGAGCTTTCTCCTTATCAGCTTTCGAAAGAACATGTCTGATCTATTACTTGCTGTGGCTTTGCAGCAGATCATTGATCTCTGTTCATGCCGTCAGATAATGAATCTTCATACCTCCCCCTCTTTGGGCAGCTAACTCACCATCATGGCGACTACACGAGACAGTTACATGTGGGAAGGGAAACTCTTGCAAAAGAGAGACCGCCGTCTGAAATATGGCGTTTCCAAGCCCCACTTGCCGCAAGTCCACTCTCCTGTGGCAAACTTGTCCCCACTTCTCCTGGGGGGTCCGCTGACTCAGCGTAAACCCAGGGGAATCCAGAGCCCTGGAATTTCCCCTGTTCTCACTGCCTGTTGCTCCACCCCTCCCCCAGCCAAGTTCTCTTCATGAGCTGCTTTGATCACTCCCCTTCCATCTGCAAGTGGTCCATCGGTCCAGATAGGCAGGGTATAAATCAAATAAATAAATAAATTCTCAACTAGACTCCTTCCCCTCAACCCTTTACCAAGGTCATAATGTTTGTTGCATTATCTCAAGATAGCTCTGCCTTTCGTATGGTGGCTTCAGCATACATGTTTTACAGATTTTAAAGACTTGCTGTTAACTCCATAAGCCCTGATCCCTTCACAGGATGTAAAGAAGGCATGTGTCACTGGGACCAAATCAGACTGGTCTTAATGGTACTGGGGCTTTCGTGGATATCCAGGCTCAGACACATCCAGGAACACCCACAAGCCGGGCACCCCTGTTTTTAGAGGGAGTGTAATCTCACCTCTATTCTTTGCTCTGCCTTTCTTTCTTTCTTTTTCAAAATTAATTTTAAAATAAAACAAAAACACAAAATAAAAAAAGGAAAATAGCAATTCAAACAAGCACTACAAGACACTCCTTATTACCCCTTCACCTAGTGCCACATCAGCTTCTCTAACTGGGACGAAGCAGTTGTATTGCATCAATCAATACAATGTAGTTTATCCTTGATCATAACTCTTTGGATACAGAAATATAATCCCTTCTTGACAGTGATTTCTGTACTGCCAAGGAGAACTTTCTTTCATCACCCTTGTTACGCCAAGTAACAAGATCTGCCCCCCCTCCACCAATCCCTCCACCACACTGAAATTCACACTCCCCCCCACTTCCTTCTACAGTCTTCTGGATGCACAGACATTGAACTGAGGTGGGTTGCTGGGGTAGTCGAAAAAGGTCCAGAGAGAATGCTCTACCTTTTCTGCTGACCAAAAGCACCTCTGTCTTGTCTGGATTAAGTTTCAGTTTATTCACCCGCATCCAGTTCACGAGGAACACCAGACACTGACCAAGAACCTAAATTTCTCCCTCTGCAGGTATACACTCTAGGTCCTGGCCTATCCCTGTAGCTTCTCTTCAGCCCAACATGTCTTGTAAAATAGATTGATCTATGGAAGCTCACCTGGAGAGACTACAATCTTTAAGATGCCACTTCCTTTTTGATTGTTTTCTTTTCTTTAGTATTGTTTCCTCTTTGTCTAGATTTGCTAGCACAGACTGATAATTTTTAAACATACTGGACTTTTTAAAATAAAAAAACTTACATTTTAAAAGAAACAAAATAAAAAATAATGAATCATTGAATCATATAGAATAGTGATGTTGGAATAGGCCTGAAGCCTGAAGTCCAACCTCCCTCTCAATGTAGGAATTTTTCAACTTTAAATTTTTGTATTAAGCTGTGAGCTGATAATATTATAGTATGCTTCACAAAGACCCCAGACTCCAATTCTTCTAAAAATTAACAGAAAATGAATTTCTTTGTGTCAGTTGGGAACTTTCTTATCTTTCTTTTGAACACCTGTTCCTGCAGAAACCACGAAATATCCTGTTATTCTTTATGTGCAGGTCTGGAGCACCGAGCTGCGGTTTGAGCCCCAGATGGCTGAGTTTGTGGTTAATATCGGCCAAACCACAGATATCCTGCATATTTCGTTTCCTCTTGAAAAGTAACGGCTTGCTATCAAAATTAGAATAACCCAGGGCGGGGGACCTGCTCAAATGTAATACTTAGAATAACCAGCCCCTCTTGAACTCCTATAGGTAGAAGACTCTGTAGTCAAACCCCCTTACCTAATTGTCTGCCAATAGATATTTTTTGTATCATTATTTCCTTGTGGTTAGAAGGTTTAAAAGTTATTTGCATTGTTTTGATCAGGGTCTCCCTCACTTAGAGAGAGACCCGGGCGATATCACTCGGAAATAAACAAGCGCTTTTGTTTTATCTGCTGAGTCTGTGTAGTCAATCTTCTGCCTGCCTGCCTAATACAAGAGTGTCTTTTAACACTCCCAGATTTCTTATATCTGACTGACACCACAAATAAAAATCAGCTGGAATCTGTTGCTTTTGTGTAAGCTTTAACTGGGCCTCTGAATCTTTGCAGTTTATCTGTTTTGCTCTGTATTGACGTGTTCCAGTATGTCCAATCACTGGAAAAGGAACCCAAGCAAGGCTTCCTTGTCAATATCCTGAGGTGACTTAAGAAGAGAGCCACAATTCTAGCCAATTATACATTTCCTCAGCTCCCTGGTCTAGGTATGTGTCTTAGGTAGAGACATCTATATCTAACTTTTAATATACCTAAATTAGTGTTGTTTTTAAAGGGAAGTAAGGCACATTCACTGGTCTAGTATGCACTTGATTTTTTTCTTCTTCACTCCAAGGAGTGAAGGGTGTGCTTAATCTGCCTATATTGTGAAATGGCTCTCTTGTTAGGCCCCTTCACAATACTGGAAAATTACAGCTGTCTGCTGCAGACCAAATAGGGTCCTTTGAGGTCTGTATGACCTTTGGATTTGAGGATCACAGCAAACGGCATGCTGGCCCTCTTAGAGACCACTTTTTACCCCAATCTAGCCTACTTCAATTATAAGGTGCAAACCCTCTGTTGACCTTAGTTTTCGCCTTGGGTCACGGGGATGCAGTATCAATACTCAGAGTAAGGCCCCCATATCAGTCTGGTTCAGAACATTGACAATAAGAGAAGACAAAATATTGTGGCACCTTAAAAGGTTTTGTGGATCAACACGTACTTCCTCAGACCCAGACTCTCCTCTGCCTTCCCTCCTGTTGCTCTTAAAACTTCACGTTTTCCTCATTTTTTTTCATTTTTAGATTTGACTGCTGTGCTGTTTGTGAAAGGGATAACATGTAAAAAGCGGAATAAAAGAACAACTCATATTCCAAGATAGCTAAAGAGGAGGAGGAGCAAGGCGTGGAGAGCTGGAGAGCGACCAGCAGGAACACCCTCATAAAGAAAGGTCGTCAGATGACACCCGCCTCCAAGGCCTCCGGACCAGGACGGAGGAATGGCATCTGAGGGTCCCCCTGAGCAGATCCTGCACTGGAGCAAACTACAGGGAAGCCGGGAAAAAAAACTATACCGCCTCCCAGCAGTGGGGTTAAAAAGATTAGAAAATCCAAAAGCAGCTCTGACTCTAACACGAGTTTCAGGCCTGTGCCAAGTGGAAACAGGAATGCAATACGAGTATAAGGGGTGCAAGGTGAGATGAACGAAGGCTCAGTGGGGAGAGATCCGTTGCCCCGAAGCAAAAATGTTTTTCTTTAAATTGCAACAATATGTTGCCCCTCTTTCTGCTTTTGGGCAATATTCCTTCCCAGTGTTTTTGTTTAGGTGTCTGTGCAAAATGTGCTGAGCAATCCACAGTCCTGCTCTGCGGGAGCTACTCTCTACTGGGCAGCTGCAGAAAGTGCGAGCAATGGATTGGAAGACTCTTGATGGGATCAGCAATCGCGTCAGAGAGATGTATTCTGTGACCATGTATCCTCACATTCCATCAGAGGAACAAGTGCTTCCTTTATTTTTAATTGAATAATGTCCTGTGATAGCAGGCCGTTACCATTTTGAAAACTGGCAAGTGCAAAGTGATAGTCATTTCAGACACTGCTAATTGTGGCAAATGAGAGACCAAGCAAAGCCTGAGAATGAATTCCAAGGTAAACCTGAAAGAGAAATACTATCTGTTCAGTGCAATAGAGGCTCATTTAATCGCATGTCCGAATGCTTCTGTTGTCATTATATGGAACATCTCCATTATGGTCACTTGTGTATAGCAAGTGAGCATAATCCCCAAAGGAAAGGGAAATTGGTGTTGTTAACATTTTTGTGGAATCCCTTATATTCTGGAAGCAAAGTAGAAAAGGGAGACAAAATTGGTCAAACATGCAGAACTTTCTTGTCCTTTTTATATTGTGCAATGAGCTACTTTGGGGGGTCAGCTTCCCCCATTTCCCATGTCTGTCTATCTCAGTGTTTATATATCTGCTTAAGGGAGGAGCAGGCTTTTTAACGGTTTAGTTTGACTGTCAAGAGAAGACCTGCTATTTAAATTTTAAAGGTACTCTATGAACTTGCTGAAGCCTCAGCTTCATGAGGAAGCAAATCTTCCCCCTCAATCCCCTTTTTTTCTGTGCAAAGCGGAATGCCCAGGAGATGAATAGGGTTCGTTTATATTAGTTTTCAGTTTAATCTCTCTTCCTGCCAGATCTTTTATCTTCTACCAAGAAAAGGGGAAAAGAATAAATAAAGTATTCTACAGATGCAGTGTATAAACAGAGCACAACCCTAAGCTGGTGGAGAGATTAATAGGCTCAGTTGTTGAATCAAACTGTTCACTAGATCGAACGGCTTGGGTTAAGCACTCTCGAGCGGTGTTTATACTTGCGGTAAACAAATGAAACAGCATTGCTCCAGGAAACAGACTGGTGACAATTCGTTCATTTATGGACATCCAGAGTTCTAGTTAGTGTCTGCTCTTCCATTTTCTTGATTAAACCCCTTCAGGCTGCTTATTAATTCAGCCCAGCCTTCGCTTCTTGCTTCCCATTCATTTTTGTTATGTACTTCGCACACCAGCAAAACAAATGCTCTTTTGATTCATAACCAAACATCTGAAAAAAGCAAATAAATAATGGCTTAAGGGGCAATCTCCACTTTATAAAGTGAAAAGGGATATGGATGTATTTACTTTATTCCAGCCATGTATCACATAGCGTTTTCATCATCCAGATCAGTGTCTCATGGTGCTTTGGGAAACCGCCCCCAGTATGCTTGTTTAAGACTTAAAGTTTGCCACATTTTAATAATCATTGTAATACTTGCAATTTACATAACTGCTTAAGACTTCCGTCCAAGTGATATATCTCACCAGAATAGCAGAATAGACATTCCTCTGGCAGCGTAACATGACATGAAGCAACATACAACATAGGTAAAACTGATCTGACTTACAGCAGATAAAGATGTTCATTTTACAATATGACTTATATATAGAAAATACATTACTTCATTTTCTGTTTCATCATCTACACAGCTGTACAACATTGAATCTTAATCCTTGATACCCGAAACTGAATGCAATTAGTACAGGTAAAATCAACTATTTTACATTTAACTGTACATAAACATTTAATATATTTTCATATCATAATCTCAACAAGTGTGCCCCCCCAACGAGTGCACCACGGCCCCCCCAGCAGTCTACAGTTCAAAAAAGGTTGGGGACCGCTGGGATAGGCAACAAAAGAAAAACCACACTCTTGTCTCGTTCCCCCTAGGACCAGGGTCTGCCCTTGCAGGCGCTCTGCCTTACCTCTGAACTGCTTCATCATCTCAGTTAGAAAGAGATTCCTCTCATGGACATCCCAGATCTCCCACTTCAGCTCAAGAGAGAAAGCCACAGGATTCTGAAAGGGTTCCATGTTCCCATCCCTGTTGGTAGAGGGGAAAACAAAGTTACTTCAAACCCACCTAACCCTACCCAGAATTTCCTGGAAAATAAAGGGACTGAGTGGAATCCTCCAGAAAAACAAAAACAAGGAGAGGCAACTTGTGGTCTTTGGACTGCATGTGGCACCCAGAGGCATTTTGTAGCCCTCTAGGCTCCTCAGGTTTGAATATATGAAAAAATTATTTGTTTTTCTTCCTTCCCCCTCCAAAAAGTGATCTACAGTTGTAATTTTCATTTTGAGGGATTTTTGGGAGACCTTCCATCCCTCTCCTTTCTGACAAGAAACGAAGCCACTGCAAACCAGCACTTTCTCTTTCCATTTCTTAAATGGTTTAAAATGGCTTTTGAAGAGGTACAGGGGGTAACAGTTGGTTCAAGCATTTGTCTTTCCGGATCAAACCGTTAGAGGCCAAGAGTCCTCATTCTGCCTCACAACCAAAGGCAGGAATAACAGGAATCCCAGGAAACTCAGTTTCCATAGCTGTCACTGTGAAAGGTGGATGATATCAAGAGATGATGAAATTCAGCAATTAAAGCATCCTCCTTCCATCCCACAGCTTTTCCAACGCGCTTTGGGAGCTGCAGGAGAGGAGAAGGGTGTCCTTAATTACTATGAATAGCTGTTGCTGAATAGTGTTATCGGCAGGAAGAGTCTTTTTTGTAACTATAGACAGAGAGGAGATACGACCTACAACTCCTGTTCCCAGAGGTTTTCACGCGGCCTAAAAAAGTTTAGGACTCCATTACCCACTCCAAACTTTCTGTGTTTCCATGAAGCTTTTGTTTGTAATATTCTTGCTGTATTGTTATTATTTTCTTTGTCCAGTACAATGCAGAAAGAGCTCGAGAAATATGTTACTGTTTTCCCTGTGTTCTATTTAGCCACTTCCAAATTATGGCAACCCTTTAGAATTAGTGACCCTCAGAGGATCCTACCAATAACAGACGCTTTCTCCAAGATGGCAATAAAAACAAAATAAATTATAACAGAAAAGAAGGGGAGGAAAATTAGGAATTAAGTGGGGGAGACATGTAATTCCCCATTTAGTGTAATTTTAAAAAGCAGTTATAGCAGAATGAGTTGGAAATACAAAGAAGGCAGGAAGGACCCATGGAGGGGACGAAAGGATTGTGCTCTGGCGGTGGCCCTGGGTGGACGAAGGAGGTGCTCCTGAGCAAACCCTTTGTTGTTACCTCCCCCAACGGTCGAGAGTCAACATCATCTCTCCAGGAGAGTTTGGGACCATTTTCCTTCCACAAAGGCCCTTCCCAGGATTATCAAGGCCTGATGAAAAAAGAGCAGCTCCACTCACCTTTGCAAGAGGTTTCTGACATCCTGGAGGGGGGAAAAAGAGAAAGAAAAGGGAACTCAGTGATTCTGCCTCGTCAGCCTGTGGGGAGACACCCACAGGCCCTTCTTATTTTCCACTCTAAGCCCACCCCATTCCGGAGGAGAGATACATCATCTCCTACAAGAAGGCTTTAAAAAACCTTTGCCTGCCTCTGAACTGCAACAAGGGAGTAAGAGGTATTTGAAGAATCAGGGTTAAGGCGGAAGATATCTTATCTCCCCTCTTTTAGGGCAAAGGATTCTTGGAAGTTAGCAGAACCATTTAAATGGGGTGTGTCTGTGTCTCCTTGTGTGTCTCTGTGTGTTTGTCCTCCGTGAGAAGGGTTCCAGCTCTGAAGCAATGGATGAGAGCAGCTCTGGTGACCAGTTTCAAATAGAGGTGAACTGGCTCTTTTGCGAAGGCTCAGAAGAGGAGGCAGGAATAATAAATGGCTTGATATCAAAGCATTGGCAGAGAAGTGAAAATTGCAGGTGTTCCCATCAATATTTAGTCCACACTGAGGTAAACACACTGACCTGATTGTATTGATTATTCTGTATGTACTTAAGTTGATTCTCTCTACATCAAACTGGATGTAGTGATTCCTTCTGTAGGTTGAGCCACAAAAGTATTGCAGAGCCAGCTTTCCGCTGGGGAGCAGCCTGGCTCCCTTCTGTCAGTCTTACCTGCAGGAGTTCACCTGGGGGCTGCTGATGCTTCTGCTCCATCTCCTGGATGAGACCTCCAAGAGAGGAGAGCTCCTCGGAGAGCCTGGCCAGATGCTTGTCCCTTTCCCTTGCAATCTCCTTCTCCGCCTCTTCCAACTGGGCCAACAGAATCTTCTCTTGTTCCTTCAGAAAGGACTGAAGTTCTCTGAATTGTTCCTTTGTCTTTTCCATCTCTCCCTTTGTCAGTTTCTGCAGGAGGAGAGTCAGAAAGGAGGGAAGGAGGCTGATGGCAGGGCCTGTGAAGGGTGGTCTCAAAAACATAAGGCTCCAAAGGTGAAAACAGGGTTGGTACTTTTGCCCCTCCTACATCCTTCTCCTGCTCCTCCCTAAATCTCTCCATACTGGTTACGCAGGCTAAGATTTGTAGGCAGAAAAGAATATTTAACTGTGAGCCATGGAGTAGTAGATAGATATATAGATGGATATAGGCTCTTTGGCCTAAGCATCTCAGCATTACTATGTATATTTAGTACTATATATATATATATAGTACTGCTGAGATGCGTCAGAAAGATGTGGATATCCCAGACAACCCAGACAATGTAGTTGCTGGCTGTGAGCCAGACATCCTGGAGAGTGAAGTCAAGTGGGCCTTGTGATGTTTTGTGTTTTTATGTGTATTAGAATGGGATATGTAGTACTAAGATTGTCCCAATAGCATCCATTTTGATTTAAAGTCTGTTCTGTAGTAGGAAAGTTTTATATGCTGATTCAGAGAAGCTTCGCTCTCTGGTTATCTCGTTGCTAAGCTGAGTGGAGAGCAGAGAGTTTCGTAGTCAAAATAATTCTGCCACAAAGAATGATAACAACTGAAGCTCCCTGAGAAAGTTAGGCGGAACAACAAGACCCAGGAGGCATTCTGGGAAGAAGAAGAGTGAGGAGAAAGTGAGAAGAAAGATGGAGTTTGCCTGAGAAAGGGGCAGACACGTGCTTTTCCCATAATGGACTGGTTTTCATCTAGCATCAGCCTTTGAAGACCCAAGACACGTGAGATGGATGATTTATGCTTTTTGTTAGTTAGCATAGTTTCATTTCTTTATTTTTTTAGCTGGAGTGGGGGAGTGGTGTGTTCCGTTAGTCTTGAATGAAAATGTACCTACTGAAATATTTTACTATCAACTGAAACCTTTTCTAAAGTAATTCTTTTTAATAAAACAGTAATGATTGATTTCTATGTAGAAGCTTTGTTTCTTGAACAGACCAGCTGAATGTCTAATTGGCCACGTGGGTTTGCTACCAAACTTTCAGAGCCAAATCA